TCTAATTGCATTAATATTACATTTGTGTCTTGGAATTCTTAACTTCTACACTACAATGTAATTTGTAGGTAGATTATTCTGGCTTTATGACCATAAATCCTCAAAGATTTGGGCAGAAATATGTGGGAAAGGTACTTTCTATCTGTCACTCTTCCGGAACCAGTGTGCTAATGCCAACTTTGCTTGAAGATTGTCTTTTATTGTTGATCAGTCATCCTTGTATTAGGTTGCAAACCCCCAAGACATTCTTATATTCTCAAAGGTTTCAAAAAGAGCCAAGGGTGAAGGTAATTTGATTTGTTTTTATTTAACTTTCTTTACTGGCTCTTGTGATATCAACAATATAGTATTTGCTAGTTATAATATCCATGACAGGCATCTTTCTTAGTTCTATTATTGACTTTATCCAAAACAAGTAGTTCTATTACCGAACCTTCAGGATGTTTACTTAAAAAATGTTGCAATATACATAAATTTTCAGGTTTATCTAGTTTTTTTTGAATAATTTGTTTGACCCTGTCCCTTCTGACATTGTTACTTTTAACATGTTTCACATGGTCCCTTCTGTTCTATTTAATATTTATAGCATCAGTCAGCCTTGCTTCTACTTCTGTAAAAGAAAACTTTGAATTATTTACAGTTGCACATGCATATTATTATTCCAAATGAGAACTAGTAAGGTTCTGATGGAAACTGCTTCATATTAGAGATAAGAACTGAACATCATTGAGGGATATCACTCTGAACTACACTGTACTCTCCAGGTATTTTAGAGACTTAGAACTCTCCCTATGCCCAAAGACCCCAACAACTCTCCACGAGTGATCAGATACCTCTCCATCTCACCATTGTTCCTATTTATAGGTAGCATGCCTTGTTTCCGACTAACTAACACACTAACAATCCCTAATAGTTATTCTAACTAACTCACTAAAGGTGTTACCTGTCATATTGAAATCCTCTATTTGTGTTTTTGATTCTAAGTAACAAAAGCAATGGAGAGGACAAGAAACCACCTATATATGATATGTATTGTTGTCAGGCACTATAGTATCTATGTACATTCAAACATATACATTAGTTTGATTTACCCAAGTTACTCCTCCTTTCTGTTGCCATTTATTTTGCTTAGAAATTTTGAATCAACGTTAGGGACAGATTGAAAGAATTGATGTTTTTTATTTGAAAACATTAAGAATCTTTTGCTGGCCATTATCATTCTACATTATAAATTTGCAACAAAAAAATCACAAGTGGTGGCTTTTCTTAGTTAAGTTTTTTTATGGTTATTGTCAAGTGATATGATTTTAAAAACGATGATAAAGTCATTTGACTCATTTTCAACTAAAAAATGTGGGAATTTGGTCAGTTACTTGTAAACTCTTCTTTTGTAGGCAAAATTGATGATTCAGAACGTCTCCGTCCAGAAGAATTAAACCAACAAAACATAGAGGCTTTGGTTGCTGAAAGTAATCTGGTATTTTAATCATTGTTCACTCAAGTCCGTTGGCTCTTTCCACATATGTGTGTTATAGATATTTCCTATTTCAACAATGAACAACAATATAGCTGTATACCAGTCACTGTCTGATTACTGTGTATTATATATTAGCTATCTAACTTTATCCAACTTTTCTGGGAATATTCAAAGGATAAGTACTCCTCCTTCAATGGTGGGTACAATGAGGAATTAAAATATAATTGTTAGAAACAATAGATCACTCTAATCTCGCTGCATATTTCTCCATGTTTTTTGTTGTTGCAATTTCATGTAAGTTCTGAATTCTGGTTTATCACAGTTTACTCTTTAAGCTTGATTTAATTGTTGTATAGTTTTACTGGGATACTCTATTAGTATTTCGATTGATCAATCTTTTGTTAAGGAGTTTAAATAGGGGGGGGTGGGGGGGGGGGGGGGGGGGGGTTATAACAAATCTGCCAATGTGGCGGATCAGTTAGAGCATAATATAAGGGGAGATGGTGGGGTGGGGGAATTATTTAGAAGTGGATTTGGGGCCATTTGGCTAGGGAGGAACCAACCCCCTATTTCTGTAGATGTTCTATCTTCTCCTTGAAGTTTTTTCAGCTTAATGAACAGATAGTATCCTTATAGTAAGTACACTGTAAGACTCCATTATTCCTTTATGCTGCCTTTGATATAATAGAAAGGGGAGAAAGAGAGGAGAGAAGTTAAAGACAAACAGCCCCTTTCTCTCCTTTGGTTTAGGGGAGAGTATGAGAAGAGAGCGAGAAAAGTGCATTTGGGCCCATGAGATTTGTTTCTCCTCTCATGGAGAGAAAATGGGAGAGGAATCTTTCTCTTCTTTTTCTCTAAAACCAAACAACATAAAAATTCACCCTATTTCTCATATCTCTCTCTTTTCACTCTCGTTCTCACATATTTCTCTCTTCTTACTTTCTTCTATTCAACCAAAGGGAGCATAATTAGGGTATGTTTGCGAGTTGATTTTTTGGAGGGGAATGGGAAGGCTTGAGAACCATAAAATACACTTAAAAAGGGATCTCAAGCCTCCCCTTCCCCCCTTCCTTCCAAAAACCAAATTAAGAACAGCTACTATTAAAAATGTGGTATCTAGCAGAGCTGAATGCAATTTTATCTTGTGATGTTTCTAACCCTTACTGGTTTTTCAGAAAATGGAGATACTTCCAGTCAATGATTTGGATATTGCATTACACAATTTTGTGAACAAGGATGACAAAATGGCATTTTACTCTTGTATACAATACAATATTGACGAAACTCGAGTGAGTATTCTATATTGCATTTATCTGCTGTATGTCTTTTCTACTGTTGTATTGGAGCATCTGTCCATATTGTATTCAACAGCCTATTCACTATGATTTAGCACACTGTCTCTATGTCATATTCTTGTATGTGTTCTTGTTAATACCGTATTCCTTTATCTTCTCATTGATGACTTACTTTTGTTCTTGCACAGAACAAAATTGCTAAGGATTCGGACACCATGAAGCTTGATGAGGAAGATTTAATTGTTAAAGTTGGAGAAGTCTTGGAGGTCAGAAGCATAATTATTGTTTTTCAATAATTCAAGAATCAGTTGACCTTCAGTGAATTTTTGTTTGGCAAACCTTACTATTACAGGGGATTTAAAAAACAGCATTATAGCAAGTTGCAGATAATCTAGGCAAAACAATTGTCTGTGACTGTGAGACCTTCGTCAATCACAATTTTGTTTGCAATATTTGCTATAAATGTTGCTATGTGATCAGAATGGTGTGACGGATCAACATACATTAATTGCCATTAATGACTCTTGTTTCTTTCTTTTCTTAAAGGAACGTGTCAAAGAAAGATCCACTCGTTCTAAGGAACCCACACAGTTCACTGCTAGTGCTCAGTCATTGGAGGTAAACCTAACATATGACGTGAAGTTATTGCAATATGTTGGGAGAGCAGTGTTTTTGGCAGACAGTATTATTCATGACCTCCTGTCCTGCTTTATTCTCTAATGTCATATAGGACTTCCAGGGCGGAAGTGCTGCTAGAACTGAAAGTGCAGTTTCCTTCAGTGATGATGAAGATGCCATGCCAATCTCTGCCTCAAAGCCAACGAGAGGTCGTAAAGGGTTGTCTGGTGCATCTCAGACTCAAGGAAGAGGAAGAGGGAGGGGCAGGGGCAGAGGCAAAGATTCCAGCAGCTTGAAGCAGACAACTCTTGATGGGGCATTTCACAGTTCTCAGAGGTTGCTTTTCCTGTTAAATAAATCATTTTAGTAGCTTTTTTAGATTCTGTGTATCAAATAAATCGTGAGGGGACATTGAAAATGGGGATGACTCAAACCGGACGCCCCCTCCCGCATAAAAATATGTTTGCTTTAATTACTGGAAGTAATCGGAATTTTGTCTTCATAGTGGAACAATCTTTTTCTATGACTTGGTGGGCAATGGACATCCTAGGACCTAGGGTCCTTATGACAGAAAAATGTCTGTGTACTTATTTTATTTTCCATTGATGGCGCCTTGAACCTTAATACTAATAGATATTCAACATGATTGGAATGCTTCATTGATTTAATGCAGGTCTGCATCCGTTGCTGCAGCAACTGCAATCAGAAGTGGTGCTGATGTTGAGGATAATTTGGGTGCTGCCTCAGATGATGATGTTGATGACAATTCGGTATGGACGAACATCAATTCCTAGTTTACCACTTTCCTTAATTTGCAGTACTTGAAAATTTGAAGTGTTTGTAAGGTTCTTTAATTCAGTGCTTGCCGGTCTGATACTTGCCACGTGACAGACAGTTTTATGTGTGCTTTGTATTCTAATTTGTTGCTGAATCATCCCCGACATGCCGAATGATTAACTTGAATCTGCTGCATGTCATATTGCGTAGGAAAATGAATCCAAGCTACCAGGACGGAAAAGAGCTGCTTCAAAGGGAAGAGGTCGAGGATCTACACATGCTTCCAAACGTGGGAGGAAATCAGAGAACTCTTCAATCCATAGAATGCTCATGAACAATGATGATGATGACGACGACGATGATGATAATGTCAGGAAGAGATTAAATAAGCCTCAACCTCGGGTTTGTATCCCTTATTCAGATTGGATATGTTACCATTTCCATTCAAAATATTTCCTTGAACAGATGGTACCAAGTGGTGTTCTTTAGAATCATGTGATTTTGGGGGACTAAATTTTACCATTTCCTTGTTAGGTGACTAAAAACTATGGAGCTCTAAGAAGGTGACAACTCGGTTATATGCATTCAACGCATCCCTCGGTATCCCTCGATGACAATTCTGTTATAGTATGAACATTAACTGCATTACCTTGTACAAAACAAAGTGGATGACTTTCCAGTTTCCACTAGTTTAGTAATGTCTGATTCAGCAGAGTCAGTAAGTGATGGTGAGGACATTAACTCTTGTACATGACAAAAGAACCTTGTTATTTAAGAATGGATCCTACAGCCTCACTCTGACTTAGGATATATCATGCTCGTTTGAATCGTTTGTTTATTTTTGAACAAAGCGAAGAACCTTACCCGGGCTAGACATGCCGCGAATCCTCTTGAAAGAGAGGGGTGCCTTCGGGAACGCGGACACAGGTGGTGCATGGCTGTCGTCAGCTCGTGCTGTAAGGTGTTAGGTTAAGTCCTGCATCGAGCGCAACCCTCGTGTTTAGTTGCCAACGTTGAGTTTGGAACCCTGAGCAGACTGCCGGTGATAAGCCGGAGGAAGGTGAGGATGACGTCAAGTCATCATGCCCCTTATGCCCTGGGTGACACACGTGCTACAATGGCCAGGACCCCCAACAAATTTTGGTTTTGGTTTTTGTTTCAAACCTTTTCTAGGCGCATGGTTGACACTTGACACCATATATCTCTCCAGTTGCCATGTACTATCGTGTTTCTTCTATTGCATCAGCAATAACACTCTTTTTGGGTACAAATGTTGTAATTTACTTGTTATTTGCAACATTAATACTTACAGGTTTAAACATAAAGAACAAGATATATCTAGAGGGGTAAACTATTTTATAACGTTGCTAATTCATGAGCTTTCACAGTTTTTAAAAATTTTGTATTAATTTATCACTTATGTTGTAAGGGACGTATACTAATATTATAAATAAAAATGATTACCTTTAAAATGATAAACAATGAATTGTGTATATTTTGAAAGTTAAAACTTTAATTTATTGCAAAGATATTGTTAAATCTCAATTTTTTTATCATGATGTTGAAAGTGAGGTTCATCATCACTATACCACTAATGTAGTGGGAAACGACATATTTTCAATTTTCTATTGTTTGTATATCACTAAATTTTCTCTGGATCATCTCATTGCCGTTTGTTTATTGGGCTCTGTCTGTTTTACCTTTCCATGATAGAAGCTTCTTGCTTAAGATTATCTATTACAAGACGGGAGAAAATTAAATGTATACAAACTGCAAAAATGTCAAGAGTTTGATTTTTGTGAGGGACACTTATTGGGAGGGATAATCATGCACCCTGGAAGAAATTAGTTTTTAACCAAAGATATAATAGTAGTGCCCAAAAATAACATTAAATTTAAACAAAGTAAATAAATATAACAAATAACAAAGACTTTCCCAAGCGGGGATAGCTCAGTTGGGAGAGCGTCAGACTGAAGATCTGAAGGTCACGTGTTCGATCCACGTTCACCGCATTATCATTTTTTATTTTCACTTAAAAGTTTTAGTTTTATTTATTTATTTTTAGAAGCATTTTAATTCTATGGGGCATCTCTAAGCCTATTTGGTTGGGATGAAAAAGGAATGAAAGAAAGAGAGAGGTATGAAGAAGGATGAAAAAAAAATTCCATTGTTTCGTTGCAGTGAAAAGAAGGAAGGAAAAAATGATGGGACTCATGCCATTATGTTCTCTCCTATATTGGGAGGAAAACAAGTAGAAAAAATGGGAGTTAATTCTCTCCATTAAGTGCATAAAAAATCAAGGGAAAGTACAATGTTTAATGACACATGCATCCTTTTGATTACAATAATATTACAATTTTGCCATTACAATAATGGAGATGGTCCTAATTCAAAAAATGGACAAGGATTGACTCGAAATTGAGTTGAGCATAACCAAAAAAGCGATTGTTATATTTAACAGACACATTCTCCAGCACTTATACTCAAAGCATACCAACAAGCCAATATCAAAGCTGAAAAGCAAACTAATAATTTTAGAGAAATATGCTTAGCTATAGTCTATTGTTTCATAATCTTACAACTAATCTAGAATTCAACCACTGATTAAATAATATAAGGGGTAACTACCAATGTCACCATTCATCACAGTAACTATTAGTGCTTCTGGTCCATCTCAATGCCACAAAAATATGAGCCATTAATTAAATTAATGATTGTTTTGGACATTCATAAATGAGTACATTATATCACTATAAGTTTTTATTATTTCATTTCATTATAGCAATTGTTTCTAGCTTGTTTTCTGCATGATGGCATTGTCACATATCTTCTCTACAACATCCCAAGTTTCTAACTTCATTTGGAGGAATTTTTTTCCCTTCACAATCCTCAATCAAATGCAGATTTTATGTATTTAAGAACTTAGTCATAAACTTACCAAAATACTACAAAAAGATAAGGATTTTTTCCCTTACATTGGAGATATTAAACAGTTTCTAATTAATACATTTGAGGCCTTGTTTTACATTACATCAGTAACATAATATAGAATGACCAAACTATACTAGTACAACTATCAAATCCTAGAAGTCTATATGCAACTATATGCACAACTTCCACCATGCAACAAAACTAGTACAACAGTGGCATGTGTTTATAGAAGTTCCTAATAAGGAGAAAAAGTATATGACAAATAATAACCTTGTCATTTTTTGCATAAACTTCAGCTTTTATACACTTCAGCTAGTACTTTTTTCTGCTATAGTGCTCTTGAACTTATTTTTTCCCACCATGTCCTCCAACTTTTTTCCACTTCCGAGTTCCCTATTTTATGAAGTGTTGCTTTTGCCATCCTTAATCTAACCTTGTATTCTTTCTTCCACGCCTCAAACCTATGCTTAAGTTTCCGATATTCTTCAATGGGATTCGTTCTACCGATTTGTTCTGGTCTAATATCAACCAGCGATCTTGCGTCGATATCAAACGTATGTCTCCGCTGCTCAAATTCCTTCACTAGATTACTTAAGGAAGAATGCAAAGAAACATTAGACTGCCTCCACGCTCCAACTGAAGGACTAGTAGAATACTTCATTGGTGTGCTCAGGCCCGGTGTTCGCGATCCTAGGGAAGTACCATCTTCAGAATCATACCATGAAGGTGACTCAGCATCGTGTCGTGTCGGGTGACTACTGCCATTATCAGAAGCAAGGCTCTTTTTAGCAGCAGTAAGGCTCATCTGCGTTGAATTTGCAATTAGAATCTTCTATATAATTTTGAATTTGACTTAAAACCTTACGGGTTGAACTTGGTGAATAAGGTTGCAACAAACTCATGGTGACACATAGAATCAGCACAACTAATCATTTAGTTTTCTCAGCATCATTTTTTTTCGCGTTAAAATCCATACCAATATGAAACTAGCCCATTATAACAGCTTCTCTAGTAATTCTTCAAGAAAACTAACACAAGTGCAGTAATATGGTTATGCAGCTAGTTAATTTTTGGTTTGATCACATCAATCGAAAAAGTAAGACATTTAGCATCCATTACAATAACATTCAGAAGTACGTCAAACGTTGATGATCTATTCTGTAATTGATGAAAACTTACTTGCAAAGACACCATCTGTTTTTGCCACATTTCCTCCATTGATGTCATCTTTGTCTCATATTCAATCCACCTTCTCTCAAATTGTTTTAGTTGTTCCCTTAACTCGCCATTTTCTCCTTCCTTTTGCTGTATAGTCGCTTCAGCCTTGATAACCCGCCTTTGGAGTTCTGCTACAGCTGAAGGCAGGTTCTGTGCCACATCCGGCTGGACCAAAAAATACGATATTTATATCATCTTGAGTAGTTGGGAACTTTTAAAAAATCATGAAGCTCAACATTATATCTCGGTAGTTAAAACTCATTCAAAAGGTAAATATGGAAGACGTATGCACTGAATGCTTCAGCTGAAAGCAATACAAATACAACATGCTTAAGGTGGAGACAGATTTAAGTTGATGTCCACACCTTCATGCAAATAATTACTTGGTAGCATTTCTGCCCAGAGGGCCGCCATAGTGGTTACTATAACCATAGTTGTATAACCCAGGCTAGAGGTCGACTCGGTCAGAAAACTGAGCCACCGGGTCAGTGTCCAATCGCAGCTCAAGTGGTTGCATCAGAGAACCCCAAACAAAAAATGTTTTTTTATTAAAAATATTATATGAAGAAACTATTGTATAAAAAAATATGTCATGTACTCAAGATGAGGCCCTAAACTCTTGTATACGTATTCAAGATACCAAGAAACCTAAGGTTTCTGAATACCAAACACCTCTTTGGTCACTTGCCTCAGTAATGGTGATGAATAATGGGTTGGAAATGAACCGAAAATTATGAGTTTAGATGTGAAAAATCCAAATTTTTACTCAGATAGAAAAAGTAATAGGAAGAATACTATTTAATACATATAAAAAAACAAATCAACGAGTTATCAAATTAAAACATTGAGAAAATAAGACATGAGTTTAGTGAATATCTCAAAAATTAGATGTGTATAGTAAATTACCTTCACTTCTGGAATCTTTGAACGTGATTTACGCCTAGGTCTTGCATTTTCAGGATATATCTTACACCTATCTGTGCCTTTAATATGCCTTCGAACCATCCAGCCACGGATTACTACATTAAAGGGAAAGGAATAACGAAAAAAGTCGTAAGTAATGTTCCTCCTCGGGGTAAACTAGACAATATGGAGAAGACACTAACCAGATTGTAGTACTATGACTGCATGAATCTCCTCAACTTTTTCAGAATAAATAGTTATAGAAGACTTCACCATAACACCATAATTTCTTCTATCAATTTCTCCACGAATAACTACAATATAACCAAGCAAACAATTAAGACTCGGGTACAAACAATAACCAAGGTTACGAAGAATACTTGTAACAAGTATTTTACTATTTGAGCCATGGGTTTAGACATTTTAAGTTCTTAACTGAATATGTGTCACTAAGGTCCACTAAGAATAAGATTTTAATAATTAGAAGCCAAACAGCACCAAGGTTTGTCTTCGGAAGTTGGATTAGTATCAATCACACACAAAAACTACTAGAAAAATATGTAAAGAAGTGAAGGGAAAAGTGCATAAAGCACAAAATAACTAAACGGCATTGATAGCATAATTATCTAAAATAATAATATCAATAGCCTGATTATCTAAAAATAACAATATTAATAGCGTGGCCTTACATGATTGTATAGTTTTCACTCCATTCTTAAGTTCATGGTAACAACTGCGAGCTTGATGACCACGAAAGCATTTCTGAATCCCAACAATTCCGCACAAAAACTGTTTTCTTTTGTCCTCCAGCATACCAATCTACAAAACCAACCAAAGCATGGGAGTAATCAAACCACAAAAACCATTACATGAATTAATACAAAATCATGCTCAAACAAGACATAAAGTCATGCTTCAGAAACAATATACTCATTTAGTAAAACAAATAGTCGATAATTTTCTGAACATCAACATTCATGCCAAGTCAACCACAACAGAAATCCTAATATAATGGCTCTTTTTATTCCTTTTAACACGATAAGCAGTCTACATA